GGCACAGCCCAGCTGCCTGCATCCACCCAGCTGCCTGCATCAGTGTGCTGACACTCTCAGCTGTGCCTGGAGAGATGCATAGGGATAACATCTGTCACTCACAGAAGCTTTTTCAAGTTGAAATTTGCAATGTTTTTATATGAACTTCGCATGATGTGCCACCTGTGCTCTTGCCTGTGTTATTTCAATAAACTGAAGCATCACTGATAAGCTGTGATAAGCTTTTATTGATTCCACAGCTCTATCAACACTGTGCCTGAAGCACAAACCTTTCTGGTTCCTCAGCTCAGGGGCTCATCTGTGCACCCCCAAAACTGGTCTTTATCCTCATGGTTATGCAAACCCTGAAATCTTCCACAAAGCTGTAATGGTGAGGATGGGGCTATTTCATCCCAAATACTGGCAGCAAGTGTCTTGTGGGATGGGCATTTTGGGGTGGTTGCTTGTCAGATGGAGGCATCGCATTTCTCCCCAKCTCCTGCTGTCACAGAGCAGAGCGGGAAAGGGTTTTTTTTGCAAACCCACTTGTGTTCGGCATCACATCTATAAACTCCAAAATCCTTGGCTCTCAGTGTCCCGCACCCTTCATCCATCTCCTGCAGAGAGATGCCAAGCCTGCAGAACAAAAATTGTATTGCTGAAGAAGAGGAAACTCTCTGAGTCTTGCAGAAAAGGAGCAGTAGGGGTGGGTTGTCCTGCCCTTTTCGTGCACCATCTTATCATGTTGCATCATTTCGTGCTGGAGGGTGATCAGATTTGAAGGGAGTTGCTCTGCCTGCAGTAAGATCTGYGGGGGGCATGTGTGGAGCATGAAAAGCCATGCAGTTCCAGGCGTCTGGTGGGAGCTCTGGGGYTACTGTGCACTGTTCCTCAACTTTTGGTCTGCAGAGCTTTGCTGGGGGCAATATGAGACCATTGCATAGACTCCAACATCTTGGAGAGATGGGTCAGGGCATGAACGAGGTCTGAAATGGAGCAAAGCTGTTTACACAAGTGGGCTGTGGATGCACTCACATTTTGGGGTTGAAAGGTGTGTTGTCCACCCATCTCCACACTTTCTGATGTGACCTTAATCCAATCCACACAGGTGGTGGGCTTTTGCCTATGATACTCTTGATGTGCTCCTGGAAAACAGAGGTGATCAGTTGCTCTCAAAGTCTCTCTGTGGAGGGTTCCATGGCAAGCAAATTCATGGAGTAAATCTGGCTCTCATATTGATGGGATATGAATGTTCCCAATACTTTGAACACTTGCTCAAACCCTCCTGTTGCTAGGCACTCTTTTCATCCCTGCCCATCTAAAAATCAGGACTTTTATGTCCTTTTTAAGTTTTCTTTTCCCTGTTTACCTTTTCTTTCTTGTCCTGGAGCACCACCAGCTGGGAGTCCTGATTTTCACAGCTTTTCATTCCTTGAGTCCAGTTTCCCAATTCCTCAGAGAGCCAGTAGCATCTTTCCCCATGGAGCTGCCAGTCCTGGGGACACAGCTTGCAGCCAGCATAGGCTGTAGAGGAGAAAAAAACATTAGATATTCCTAAGCATTGTCAGGTTATTCCCTAGCCACCAGCTGAAGGTACTGAGGATTCCCCATCCCACGCACCGGCTCTTTCCCCATCATTGAATTTTTCACATTGATGTGTTTTTTTTAGCCACTGGAGAGGAGAGTTACTGAGGTTGAGTGACCACAATGACATTATTGGCAGATGGAGGTGGAGGAAGAGTGGGGAGGAACTTCTTCCCTAGGGTTGATGCTGCTCCTCCATGGAGGAGGGATCAGCAAAAATTGCATGGAAAAGAGGATTCTTCTTTGCAACAATCCTCTGTGCCAAATAACCCTTGGTGTCCTCACAACCCCAAGGGTCTGCTTGCAGTAGAAGAACCGCCACAAAGGTCTCACCTGAGCATGTCCCAGCAGAGTCAGGTGGAAAGGGGGATTACCTGTGGGACTCTTCCCTTGGGGCTTGCAGAAATATCGCACYAGGGATGAAAACGTGCTCTGCTCCATCTGGTTCCTTCCCTGTATCTCACAGCCTAGCTGTGGAACGCTTGTCACCACTGGCTGTGGGGAGCCCTGAAAAACTTGGAGCAGTAATCCAGAGTGAGAAGCTGCAGCCATTTGTGGGTAAAAACCACAAACCCCAACAAAACTGTGTTTCATTTTCTCATGCAATTACTTAAGCYAGCCTGAAAAACATGGCTTGTATCCTCCACCTTTGTTTAATTGCTATGGGGATAATCTAGGTTTATTCAGAAGGGGTTTATTCTTGTGGTGGGTGATGTTGCATCCCTACTGGACAACCTTGTCCCCTCCAAAGGCTGAAATGCTGACATAAACCCAGCTTTCCCCTCCCTGGCTGCTCGTGGGGATGTGAGATGTAGGTAAGAGCTGGTTACTCACCCCGCACACTCAGCACCACCACCAGGACCAGCTGGATGAGTTGCCCCAGCCCCCCTGCTATGAGGAGGAGCCTGTGCCACCACGGACAGAAGGCAGGAGCTGAAAGACACCACATTTGCTTTAAAAAATGAAAGATAGGAAGGTGGCGGTTTAGAGGGAAAAGAAAAAGCCCGTCTGTCAAGCTGGTGAGTTTGAGCAGAATTTTACAGCTTCTTTGCTTCCTCCAAAAATGTAAATCATCACTGATGAGGTCTAGAGTGAAGGTGGTTTTTCAGGTGGTGGAGAGGCTGCAGGAGCCACAGGAGCACCCTTGGACACCCAATGRTGGAGCTTGGGAGATCGGAAACCTTCTGAAATGGGCTTAATGTAAAGCTCCTCATAGAACTAAGTGTTGGTGAGACAGAGGTCTCGCCAGCTCTCATCTCCTCTAGGATTCCAGACAGGATCTTAACAGCTTTCCTTCCATCCAGGTGTGTGGCTCATGTTAGGCTTATTGGGACTTTTTTTTTTTTGGGCCCCAAGTGGAGAATTTTGGAAGCATAGCTCTTCCACCTCCAGATGTTTGTCACCCTCTCCAATCCCTTAATTTCTCTTTTTCCTCTACTTCTCAAGTCAGGATTTCACCTTTGAAGGCATTTAACCCACAACAGTGCTCCCCATGTTCTTGGGAACCTCAACATGGGGATGGAAAAGTGAGTAAACAAATACAAAACTCTTCCCAAAACTTGAAATAAATATTTACCCCTCCCCCCCCACCCAAATAGGACTTACCACGATGCTTCTCAGCAGAAGAACTATCCCCAAGATGCCTTAAATCCGCATAAACAATTTCCCCAGCCATGGTCATTCAGAAAGTCACAGGAGCAGCCCAAAAGTGWCGCTGTCCATGGACAAACTCTTGCCTAAGTGAAATATGCACTCACAGCCGGATGTCTGCATCCAGCTCCAGGAAATGGTACTGGCCAGGGCTTTTATCTGTTTATACAGAAAATGTATATCAGGTGAAGAGAAGACATGTGACATTTGGTGTTTCTTCCTCAAAATATGGGCCGAGAGTGACCTGAGGTGCCTTTTGTTCTGTGCGACTTATTCTGCTGGTTTTGACACAATATTTTGCCTCCATTTCATCGTGGGGCAGACAGATCCAAAGTGGTGAGGGTTTGCCCAGCTCCTGCTCAGGAAGAGGTGAGAATCTGGATTCCTTGTAGGCTGCTAATTAATTTTGTTTTATCTTATTTTATTCCTTTATTTTATTCCTTTATTTTATTTTGTTCCTTTATTATGCTTTTTTTCCTCCTGGAAGCCCGTCCTTCCATCCCTGACGTGTCCTTTTACACCATCTAGACCCATGTTTCCTTCAGGTTTGGTGCTTTTTGCCAACTGCACAGAATGACCACCAATTTCCAGCCTACAATAATACTTTTTTTTCCTTTTCCTAGGGTTTTTGGTTGTTTGCTTGTTTTTGGGTTTTGGTTTTTGGGGTTTTTTTGTTTWGTTTTGTTTTTTGTATTTTAATCACAGGTTTTAGCCAGTGCCATAACATACCTGAGCAGCACCTTTTTGTAGAGGTAAAAATGATGTGTTTTTTCCTCAGACACCCAAAAAAGCAAAGAAAAAAGCTGAAATTTGCCCCAATGCCTATCAGCAGCAAGAAATAGGGTAAATAAGAGGATAAATCCAAAGATCCAGAGGTACCAGTAGGAAAAGGACTACATTATTTTATTTTAAAATGATATTTAAATTTTAAATTAATTTTTAAGTTAATTTTTATTTTTAKTTTGGTTTTATTTTATTTTAATTTTTSTATTTTTATTATCTCTTGTTTATTTTTTTCCCACCCACAGCCTTTGTTACACTCACAGAAAGTTTTTGTGGTTAGTTGCTATCAGCCAGCCTTCCTGCCTTCTGCAAAAGCAGCTGCTCCCTTGGTGTGTGACCACTGATAACAAAAAAACCCTCAAAAATACAAAATAAATTATGGTTTAGGGTAAAACCCTGCAGGTGGGTAGCTCAGTTGCAAGAACAGTCATTTTGTTATATTTTTTGTAGCAAAAAAAAAAAATAAAATGGGCTGAAGGGAACTGTGCTTTATCCTTGTAAAATCCATGAGGGCTGTTCTGGTTTGCCCTGACACCCTGGAACAGAGCAATCCTCAGCAGTGTTTTCCCCTCCTKCTAGCTAAAAAAMCCCCATTTTTTGACAATCTGTCTCCCTAGCTGAGAAAAAAAAACCCAGAAATGGTGGAAAAGAGGGTGAAGTGGCACCGGGAGGAGCTGGAGGGGATCCCCTGATTCAGTGGGTGGGCAGGTGGCCCTGGGCAGGCAGCCCCTTCCCCAGTGCCCTTGAGGAGGCACAGGAAAATCCCTCAGAAAGTAATAAAATAAACCAAAAAGCCATTTTTAAAAAATACTTTATTTATGTTTCTCTTCATAGGAGAAGGCTCTGCATCAGCATCAGTCTTGTTCCCACAGAGCAGATCCAGGTAAGGGGGTTTGGGGTGGGCTTTGGGGCTAAGGGGAGCTGATCTTCAATTTTAATTGGAGGAGAGAATTTTAATTGCAGGGAAAGGTTTTTAATTGTGGGAGAAAATTTTGGTTGAGGGGAGAAAAGTTTGACTCTGCAGAGAAAACTTTAATTATGGAGAGAAATTTTAATTGCAAGGAGAAATTTTCAATTAAGGGGATTTTCATAGGGGGAGATTATTTTAAATGGGAGGMGAAAATTTTGGTTTAAGGGAGAAAACTTTAATTTTGGAGAGAAAATTTTAATTGAAGGGAGAAGATATTAATTGGGGGGAAATCTAATGAGAAGAAAGGTCTGCAGGGAGAAAACTAATTATGGCAGAAAATTTTAATTGCAAGGAGGAAATATTAATTGAGGAGATTGTAATAGGGGAAGATTTTAATTGGTGCAGAAAACTTTAATTTGGGGTAGAAATTTCATTGTGGGGTGAAAATTTAAGGTGCAGGGAGAAAATTTTAACTGAGGGGAGAAAGTATAATTGGGGGGATAAAACTAATTGGAGGGACAGAAAATTGTAATGGCTAGGACAAGATTTTAATTGTACAAGAAAACTTCAGCTGGGGAGAAAAGTTTAAATATGGTGCAAGGAGAAAATTTTAAATGGTGAGGAAATTTTAATTGAGGACTGACAGTCTTCATGACACCGCTGATAGATGAAACTTTGCTTGGCAGGTGAAGCAAGAGCACCTGCAGAGGTGGAATCCCAAAAATGGAGGAAATGAGGGCTTATTCTGGATTTTTGGGCGTGGAAAGGAGCAAACGGGCAGGTAACTGTAGGGCAATGAACTGTTGAGTCACCAGGTTTGGGATTTTTTTGATACTTYTGTAATCTGAGAACAAAACCCAGCTGGCGTAAGGTTGTGGAGGGAAAAAAAAAAGCTTTTTCTGGCACTTCCCTTGAGGGGAAATTTTTTGTCACTCAGCAGATATAATTTTTGCTCTAAACGGGCCATTCCAGACATGATGGGTTATTCCAATCTAGGATTAACCCTTCCTGAGACACTCAAGTAATTGATTCTTTTAGGCTTTTTTCCCCCCCAAATAGTCCAATTTTCTGATTGATTCTGGATGTGAATATAGAAATTTTTGAAGAGTTGAACTGTTAAAAGACCCTAAAAAGCAACTTGTTATTTAATTCCAGTTTGGGTACATCAGCAAAGTATTTATTATTGTCTCCTTTCCCTGGAGAAATCAGCTTTTCCTTTTGCCCTGTTTCAGCTTTCCTGCTTTTGCTCCCATCTCTATCATCCCCTTGGCACACAATAAGGGAGAAAAGGGACTTTTGGGGGCTTTTCCATCATCTTGTTCTACCCAACCAGAAACAAAGATTTTTGAGGATTTTTTTATTTAACAAATTGGTGGCTTTTTCAAATTTGATGGGGRATTTAAAAAAATATTTTTACATGTATTTGTTGATTTTAATTTTTCTTTAACATAACTTTTTTTTTTTTACTATTTGGTAGTAATTTTCTTTGCTCATGGTGAAGGTAAAGTGCATGTGCTGGATCATAGGATCCAGAGGTGGAGGCACCATGACTCAGATAATTTTCAGGACCCAAAGTGTCTTAGTTTAGGTGGAGACAAAAACTCTACTGAACTTTAATATTGAGGTAGCCCAAAACTGAAAACAAAATTTTCATTATGGTACATTTCAGAAGTTTGCATCTGGAGCTGGGGAGGACACTGTTCCCCAAAAAATTCCCATAAAATTAAAACAAAAAAAAAGTATTCCACATGGGGAAGAATTTTTGGCATTTCTCACATGAAATGATACCAAATGATACTAGCATTGGGATGAGACCAAACCTATCATCTTGGCATAACTCATGTTGCTCCCCTGGGAACCCTCATAGAGGCACTGAAGGTCTGTTCTCCTGCAGGTCACAGCCTGGAGATGAAGCCAGAGGCACGTGTTGCCTGCCAAGTGATGCTGGCAGTGCTTTTCATGGTCCTGTTCATCACAGCCATCACTTTCGCAGGTGAATGTCAAGGCTTTGGTCTCATGAGGAATGTCTCTGAGATATTTTGGGTTGTTGCATTTGTGCCAGATCTACTTCCATGTTCCTGGGAAAGACAAAGCCCACCCAAGCTGCTGTCCTCTCTGGGAGCAGAATGTTTTAGAGCAGCCTTTCTACAGAAGACCAAATCCATCCCCTTGGTGTAGGAGCTGATGTCATCTAGAAATTCTTAGAAAATCAGCAAGAAGAGTAATTTCATGAGTACAGTCACACAAAAGTGTTTTCTTCTGAGAATGGGCTTGGAATGTTGGCATGAGTCCTACCAAGTCAAGAAGTCTGCAGGAATAAGGGAAATTTTTTTCTGTCATTTTCACTACTTGTGCATAATGACAGAGAGCAACAACCATGTTTAGGCATGTTTAGGTGTGGAGGCCGAAAGCCAGCATTGCGACCTTGCAGGTGTAAATCTGAAATTCAACCGATAATACTGTATCCCTGAGATCTGGAAAAACAAAAGGGAGTCTGAAAGTCTGGATGAAGGAGGACGAGACAGAGGAGCATGTTACCAAAGCAACGTGACTGAGCAGCCTTGACTGTCTGTGGGAAAAGGAAAATGGAATGTTGAAGAAGAGCGAAGTTAGATTGGGCAGATGCCAAAAACAGAGCAAAATCACGAGAATTAACGACACCGCAGCTTTTGCAACACACCAGTCATATGCTGATAAGTAGAGAAGGGGCTGCTAATTAGCCAATAAATAGTTGCCATTTATGTGGAAGACTTAGTATGCACCTGTTGCTAAATAGACAAAAGGGGCTCAGCCCCATAATAAAGTAGTATGTCTGTGTCTGTCTGTCTGTGTCTTTTGCTTGTTATTTGTGTCGTGTTGTCTGTCTCTACTGCGAYATTTAGGAATAGGTCTATTCTGAAATTCCTCTTAAAATGCCAGTTTTTGAAGTCTACCACCTTGTTTTTTCTTTGAAGTGTGCAGCGCTGGTGTTTCTTGTCCAATATCACAAGCTGGGCCATGATTTGAGCCTGTTTTCTCCCAGGATTTCTCCTGGTATATCTTAATTTTCATTTTTCACACTGGTTGAGGCAGATGCAAGACTTTTGGAAGCCATGGGGTGGAGGATGATCTCCCCACCTTAGAGAGGCTAGGAGAAGATGCTGCTTATTAACGCTGCTCTATTTTTAATGACAGTGCAGGCTTTTCAGCCTCATGCCCAGCCCTGCTTTCAGTGTCCCTTTGACTGGATCAGGTACAGAGGAAAATGCTACTATTTTTCGGAGGTTGAGGGGAACTGGACATCCAGCCAGGACAACTGCTTGGCACTTGGTGCTTCCTTGGCCATGCTGGACAGCGTGGAGGACTTGGTAAGGAGATATGAGGACATGCTTGGCATGAAGAAAAAACCCTCAAACCAATGTATTTGAAACCTTTTGGTTTCTTTGACTGCTCTTCCAGGATCTTTCTTAAAGGTCTGGGGTGAGATTTGGGGAAAAGGTCTTGAGGATATATCACCATGGGCCTCTTCAAATTTCTCATGAAGGCAAACTACTGCAAGAACTGTAGGAATAAACCTGTTTCTAGATGACACTTTTTGGTAGCAGATTGAAATGTTCAAGCCCCTAAGAAGCCCTAAAGCAGCACGAGCAACTGGTAAAACAGATTTTTGGCTGGAAGATAGTAAAAGTCTTTCCTTTTGCCTCTCTTTCAGACCTTTGTGATGAGACACAAAGGCATCTCAGAGCATTGGATTGGCCTTTTGCGGGAGGATGAGGAGCAGCCATGGCAATGGGTGAACCACACACCTCTATCTCACCTGTGAGTTCATGTTTTTCTTTATTGCATTGGCTGGTGTTTCCTCAACCATGAAATGTGAATGTCTTCTTGCACTTGAGGTACATTCAGAGGTAGCAATGGGACAACGTTTGGGAAGGGCAACATTGGATCTGGAGCTGGTCTTTGTTTTCCCCTTTGACCTAAAGTGTGGGAGTGGTGCTTTTGGTGAGAAAATTCTAAGTTTAGATTTTTTATTTTAAGGTTGGGTGTTTTTTTTTTTTTTTTTTTTTTTTTTTTTGCAAAGCTTTGGGTTTCTTATTGGAAATAGAAATAAATCAGCATCAGTGTTGGCAGATGGATGTCAAATTAGTTACATTCCTATAAAAGAAATATATATTGATATTTTGGCATGTTCCTCATGGCCCATGAGGATCCCGGAGAGCTGAAGCTGAGGAAAGCCTATGTGTGACTTTTCTCCTTTTTCCTGCTGCTCCATCTGAGGTGTGTTATCTCTGTTCTTCCAGGTTTCAAATCCGTGGTGGTGGGCTCTGCGCTTACCTGGATGGCAGTGGGCTCAGCTCCTCCCACTGTAGCAACGAGAAGAGCTGGATTTGTAACAAACCTGAGCTGCAGAGCTCAAGCAAAGGCAACAGGACGAGACGGCCTCCAAACCTCTGTGTCAGCTCCTTGGGTGCTGCAGGGAGGGCTTCTCATGCCCAAATACCTGCTGCACCATAGGGACATGGAAGAAAACTTCAGAAAGCTTTTGAACCACCTGGGCAAGGTGTTATTGGAGGTTGCATGGGACCAACAAGGTGTTGGTGGGACAAGGGAACCTTTGAGGAACAATGTAAGGCAGTTCCTGGGAATTCTGGGGAGCTAGAGTGGCCTTGGGGCATATTTTTTGGGCTTGGGGCAACTTGCTGATGGGTCAAATATAGATGCCTTCTGCTTCTTAGAGAAAACAAAATTTATTTTATTCTGAGGACATTTACATGTTAATTAGTTGGAAATACATCTTGAGCATGGGGAACAGCAGAACAAAAGGGTGGGGGCAGTGGGTGTGAGCACATGCTTATGATGACAAAATCAGATTTAAAATGAGGTGATGGCTGGTATTAATGCAAAGTCTGCAAAAATTAAGATTTTTAATTTGTGATGGAAGCCCAGCCAATCATAAATACAGAGGTCAGCAAAAGGAACCCTCAGAGGAGGCTGAATTTGGGAGAAAAACCCAAGTTTTCAGCACAAAACAAGCTCAGTGAAATCTGGCTCCTGTTAACAAGCTTTGGATGAATTTGACAGCTTCAGCCATGCTGAGCTCAGATCCAAAACCCCCTGGACATAACCCAAAACAGAGACATCAAAGATGGAGGTAGAACCCTGAAMTGAGCTAGAAATTTCTCAAAGACCTTTTGAAAATATGAGTTAAGGAGCATCAAGGAGCATTTCCAACCACCATGATGCAAACAGCTTTGGAAGCATCCTTCCAGTGCATCAGCCCTTGGGGGACAGTTTGATGGATGAGAGGAGCACACAGAAGTAGGGGAAGACCCTCTCCCCACTGAAGGAGGCGACAGGAAAAGTGAAGATGCGTTGGCGGCTGCTGACAGCATAGAAAGAGACCAATCCGACCTCATAGTCCAGGTAGACCCCAATCTCCCCATTGAGAAGTGGGACAGAGGTGTTGGATGGAGCCGTGAGGGCAACGCAGAGCTCATCATATTTCTGCAAGCCCCAAATCTCAGTGTTGGGCTTGAAGAGGACCCGGCCCTTCCTCTGAACAGACTCAAGGGCCACCCCCACAGCCCAGAAGCGCCCGTTGGCCTCCACCTCCCAGTAGTGACGGCCCGAATTAAAGCCCTCAGTGCCCAGCATGCACGGGTCCGTGTCGAACCGGCCCGGACTCTCAGACCAGCGGCATCGAGGTCTGCCCCAGGTGGCTTCTTTGAGGTCCTCCGAGAGGATCACCTCAGGGCCCACGGTGGCTGGATCCAAGGTTACATCCACTGAAAAGCAAAACAGAGAAACAATCAGAAGCCAAATTTAAGCCTAGAGAAGACACACCCCAAAACCCTCTTGACTAGTGACTTTTCAAGGAGAAAGGGAGAGGAAAGGTGAGGCTAGAGATGTAAGAGGGAAGAGGTGGAAGTAGGAGATGGAGGATACCCAATTGAGGTCAGAGATGGGGAGCCAAGAGATGGAGCTAGGAGACAGAGGCCCCTAGGTGGAGCTGCAGAGCCTCCATCGAACATCTATTTTGATGCAGCCCAGCAAACACCAGGRACAGGCACTTCACTCCTCTCTGGCCTCCTCTTATTACCTTCGAACTGTTTGGCGCTGTGGTAGTCCACGGCAAGGTCCCACATGCATGGCCGTGGTTTGAGGAAGAAAGCCATTGCACCCTCAGCGTCCTCTCCTCCTGGCTGGAGGGAAAATGGAAATAAAGGATAAAATTTAATCATTATCCTTCAGACAGTAATTATTCTCAGCCTTCTGTCCCTTTTTACGTAAAAAAAAAAAAAAAAAAAAAAAAAAAAAAAAAAAAAAGGGCTTAACTATCACATTTAATCAACACACTTTAAGAAAATTGCAATTTTTTTCTTCAACAGTTGCAACAGAACTTGGTTCATTTCTAGGAAGACCCTTGGACATGGGTTAAATCAATTAATTCCCTGATGACTATGAAGGGAACGGGTGAAGTATATAGGGATGGGCCCATCTCCATTGTAGAAATTATTATACCTCCAAATCCCCATTCCTTGTGCTGGCTGAAAGTTGTCTTAAATTCATCTCTGCCTCCACCCTTCATCAATCAAATCTGACAAAGTTATCTGAATGAGGAAAGTTCCTAAAACTGAGATAAGCCACGTCCAGCTCTCATGTCCAAAGAAATCCTATGAGAGGGGAAGAAATTTGTTGTTGACCCTGCAGGAAATGTGTGTGTGGGAGATAAGAGCTGGCACCAAAGGGCCTTAAATTCATCCTCCGGAACTCACTGCAGGATTTTTCATGCAAACAAAGGGTTTCCCATGCTAAAGGGCCCTGGAAATTAGAAATAAAGGCTCAAAATTATAAACCATGCTGTTGAAAAGGATCAGGTTGCTTTTTTTCTCTGTGTTTTCCTCAGCAAATCTGCAGAAAAGGGGATTAAAGCAGTAGAGTGATGAGTACAAGTGGACAAAAGGTGAGAAAAATCACCCTTAAATGAAGATAAAAGCAGGAGCCATGCTGTTTCTTACCCAGATTTCCCCAGCTAGACGGTTACAAGCAGATGAAAAGCAATTAATCACCATAATCCTTCATTGCAAAACAGCTTTAAAGATCCTGAGGTCAAAGCAAGGGTAAATCCACTTCCCTCCTTGAGTTCATGCGATGGAGAGGGGGCTCAAAATCCCTCCCGCCCCTCCCCCCCCCCAAAGGCATCAGACTGATGTAACCCACCTATCAGCCCTGGGACTTCCCCCCTCCCTCAAACCTTCCTGGTGTTTTCCTTGCTGTCACCGGTGTCCTTGGTTCCTCCAGATGCTTTTCCTCCAATAGCTGCTTCCCCACTAGGTTTTTTTTTCCTTTTGGGATTTGTTTCTCCTCTCTCTGGCACAGGCTCAGCCAAAGCTCAGTCCTGGCTCAGCCTCTGCTAACTTTTATCAGCCAAGAAGGGAGGAGCCCTCCAATCTCTTGCCTGCAGATGGGGCCATGACGTGTTTGGACACCTCCTGCACCCTCTGATTGCCCCTTTTACTCCCATTTCAGGGCCACTTACTTTTTCAACACGGGCCTTGGGGAGGGAAGGGAGGAAAATTAAGGCGGTGCAAAAAAAATTCCATTATTGCATGGTGCCACAAGGAAGAAATTGGTTAAATATTGCCCCCTAGTTCCCCAAATCTGGCTCTGGCCCTTTACACATGATGGAATTGAACAAAGCAAAGCTGGGAGCAGCTTCCAGGTGAGGAACATGACACAAAAGTCTGGAAATGAGACAACCTTGTGGAGATAAAAGATGTGTAAAACTACTTGTAAGTGATGAAATTTGCTTTTCCAGCTGGGGTGGGTTGTGCCAGGAGCTGAGCACAGGAACACCCAGGGGTTGCTCAAAGACAGGCAGCTTCTCCCTGTGCCACTGCCAGTCCCCATCATCCCTTTCTCCTTGCCGGGAAGGCAGCATGGCCACAGCAGTGGCACAAACCCCCCGTGCTGACACGGGCCACAGCTTCCCCACTTGGTGTTGAAGAGACAAAAACCCCTCAGGAGGCAATGGATGAGCCACCACAGGCTGTGGTCATGAAGACTTTTGGAGGATCAGACAAGACCTGTGAGGTGAGATCAGCTTCTTATGACCCCATCTCTCTGACGCCTACCTTTTCTCCCTCCCCTTGAAAAAAAGGTGCAAAGTGAAAATATTTTAATCGCTTCATGGGAAAATAAAGCTCCTGTGTCTGCTCCCAGTTTTGGGAGAAACATAAAGCAAGTTGATCCCTGTTTTCCAGGGAAGGCAGCAAGGGGTTTTTTTGGGAGATTATTTACTTTCTTCCCCCAGATAATTTAAGATTTTGAAGGCAGAATAATACAAACAATCTAGGCTAATCACTTCAATTTTTTTTTTAAATTTTATTTTTGGGTGAATTCAGGAGAAAATGSAGTCTCACCTTCAATCCCTAAGGAAGGTGTTGGCAGAGTTTCTGGACTGGAGAGAGAGCGAAGAGAAGCGACGCCAGGACTACTGGTACAGGGCGTTCCCTCGGTTCTTCAGCAGTCCAAATGGGTCTTTGGGTATTCCTTTCTCCCCATATCCCTCTCAGAGAAGAATGTGGGACCATTTCCAAGAGGCTTCCTGGTGCCCTGCAAAGCCCCACACCCAGATGGAACGGTTGGTATAGATCCTGGGCAGATTTGGCAAGCACCACCTCCATATGGAGCTGCTCATTATCCACACTTCAAATCACTTCATGGCACTGCTCATTTTCATCCCAGACTGAGTCATAGGGGACATTCGTTAACATGGAATTAACCCTCCCCCCTGCTTCCCAGGGACTGGGTTGGTTTTGGGCAGAATATAAAGATTAATGGCAGGGGAGGGGAAAGGAGAATCTTGAAGTGCTTAACTACCCGCAGTTGCTAATTAACCGCATCCCCAGCTCTGTCCCAGTGTTACAGCCGCCCTGGCTACAGCCAAAGTGCTTTTGTCCTTTAACTCAAAAGTGGAAAATTCAGGTCTGGGGGTTGCATATGGATTTTTTGGCTCCTCCAGGASGCGAGTGAAGCCGAGTGACGCCGCATTGAGGCCGAGTTTGAGCAGCTGCGCCAGCTGCTGGCGGAGCAAGAGTGCACAGTGCTGAGGCGGCTGGCTCAGCTAGACCACACCTTTGCAGCCACACACGCTGAAAAATAATTGCGGGTAGCCAAGGGGATCGCACAGCTCCACAGACTCATCGGGCAGCTGGAGGCCAAATGCTTGTCCCGAGTACCCCCCTTACCCAAAACCTCTCTCAACGTGCTGCCTATGGGGTCTTGAATTCTGTTTTTTCCTCCCTTGTCACTTTTAGGATGTTGGGAGCATCCTAAGCAGGTATGTGGCAACCGATTGCTTTATGTCCCTGTCACCCCAACTGCGGAGAGGGGCTTGGCTGATATATCCCTTGCATACCATCTATTCCTGTCATTTCCTCTCCCAGCCGGAGTAAAATGAGGCTCCAACTCCTGTCAGGGCTCTCCAAGGAACTGGAGCAGAGCCTGAGCTCCTGCTGTTGCCAAAGAGATACTCTGTGGGAGGCCTTGGAGAAGTTCAGAGGTATTTGGGTAGACTYCAGATATATTAGGAGAATTCGGAGGTATTTTAGAAGAACTTGGAGGCTTTAGGGAGGAATGCAGAGATATTTGGGATAATTCAGAGATATTGGGGAAATTCAGAGTTATTTTGGGAGGAATTCAATTGTATTTCGGAATAATTCAGTTCTCTGGGGAGAAGTCAAAGGCATTTCAGGAAGAAAGGAGTTTGCGCAAGGGAAAGGCAGCAGCGGGTTCTGCACGTGTTCATTTTCCACCTTCTTCCCTTCTCCCAGACATGGATCCCCCCACAGCGAAGATGACTCTGGAGACTGGCATGACTCCTCTCCCAGAACTCCGGGCAGAGAGAAAAAGCGTGCGGTGGGATGAGGAGGAGGAACCAGATTAAGTCAGAGAGCCCCAGTGAGGCCAAGAACTGGCTGGCAGCTATCAGGGTGTCATTGCCACGAGATGCAGGACATGGACACAGTAGCTGGACTGCAAGATGCCACCTGTGCACCCCCAAACAGAGCCCTAGGTGCTGCCCATATTCCTGAGGACACAAATGGCCTTCTGTCCAGCTCCCCTCCCAGTTGCTTTAATTAGTGACCAATCTTGCACTGCTGCTCACCATGAAAGTTATGAATTAAAAAAAAACCCTGATTTTCCTCATGTGTGAGAGAGTTTGCACAGGATAGATTTTAAGGCATTTCTTGGTTCCGCATGGTCAGGCAGGAGGCGGCAGGGGAGCGAGGGGCAGCAGGATGGGATACATGGTGCCGGGCCTTGCGTGCAGGGTGACTGACCTCTTCCGGTGCCTGAGCTATGCGGTCTTGACTCAGAACAGCACGGCCCGCTGCTCGCCGCCGCTGGAAGCTGCTGTCCCGGCTCCGGCTGTGGTCACTCGGCTCCTCCTGCACACGGTAAGCAGCGCGACAAGTGGCGATCTCCGCGGGACCGCGTCTGTCCCGTCCCGCCGTGCACCTCTTGTGGATGCGCTGCAGTGGCCAGCCCCGCTGCAGCTCTTTTATTGTATTTATTTTACTCTGTTCCATACATTCTATTCACACCTCGCCCTCCTGTCGGCGCAGCTGTCTTGGCGACACCTGTTAGGGGCGAAGTCAATCCCTGTGCRGCCCTTCTAACGCCGCCCCACCCTCAGGACAGCTTTTCTGGTAACTGCGGGCTCAGTTAGTCTCCTCTATCGCCCCTCGCCCATCCCGCGGCCCACTGCTTTGACACGTGGAGCAGATGGGGACCCTGGGGACCACGACACGCCATGCCACACGGCAACATCCTGTCACTGTCACCCCAGGCAACAGCCAGCCCGCGAGGCAGCTCTTCCTGCGCCGCCTTGTCTCGCCCCGCCCAYCCCTTCATGTAGTCCCGTAACCTCACCCCGAAGAGACAATTTCTGGGAACATATTTATGCTTAGCAAAACCCTGACTTCTCCCGAGGCTGCAAAAGCCTTATGTAGACTGAGGTTCTTCTTGGAAAAGTAGAGTAAGTGCTTGAAATAATTAAAAATCAATTCAGCATTAAGTTAGTCTGCTGGTAACTGAAGTAATTTTCCGAGAGATTCTTAGAACRAAGCATATCTTTAAAATAAAAAAAAATTAATTTTTTTCTTTCATTTTCTTCCTTCCTTTTTGCCCCGAGAGATCAAACTTTGGGGCGATCGGGCACAGTTCCGCGGTTTCACCCCGTTTCGATCAATTCAATCGCAAATCGATGACTCAGTGGCACAATCATGCAGAGACGCAGCATCCATCCGCACCACACACCCCTCCTCCTCTTCCCCTTCCCCTCCACCCCCCTTCCCGACCCTTCCCTACCCCTTTCCCCTTTCCCCTTCCCCTTTTTCTGTTGCCCATTTCCCCTTCCCCCTTTCCCGTTCCACATTTCCATTCCCCATTTCCCCTACGCCTTTTCCCCTTCCGTCGAGCCCCTTCCCCCTTTCCCCCTTCCCCTCCCCTGTTCCCCTGTCTTCCTTCCCCTTCCCCCTTCACACTTACCGCGTCC